GCTTTTGCTGAAGGCACTGGTCTTTGTGTCACACTAACTTTATCAGTAAATGGTTATTCCTTACATGCAATCTGCCTTTAATAAGAAAGGGGTGTAACGGTAGATGCATCCCAACCAAATTTCGGTTTGGTACACGTGTACCAAACAAATGCAGTGAGTCCAAATGCAGAACTTATTTGTGTACGTCTCAAATTCCGAGGGACAAGTTTGGCCGAAGGAACGGATGTGCTGTAGGCTCGTGGTCATAGTAACCGCAAGACAGACAGAGTGAAGACCCTCCCTCATCAATTAAGTCTGTGTGGGAACACACACACAGTTTCACAGTCAACTATAATGACGACGGACGTAGATGAGTGGATCGTACAAAAGCCACATGCCAACATCCACTAACATTGGGAATAACACTGACATCACTAGGACGAGGAAAAAACGAGTTCCATGCAAACCCAGCTCCCCGCCGCATTAAAGCTGCCACTTGCAAATAATTCAGACCATGTCAAAGCAATAAGAAACGTTATAGGTGCTTTTATCGCAGCAGATATGCAACCGTTCTCTGTTGTTGAGAACACAGGATTCAAACGCGCAATGAACTTAAACGAGCCCCATTACAAACTTCCCTCTCGTCTGCATTACAGCCAGCAAGTCTTACCATCAACATCTTACCACCAACAAAACTATCCTCGACTTGTGAGGCTGTGAGAATAAGTGTTTAATTGATTAACTATCATCTTGTCACTATGTTTAATCAATCCCTATCTGGCTGGATATGATAACTTGTAAAAGAAGAATATAAACTGTCAAACTATCAACAGCCCACTAAAACAGACTGTGAAAGAGGAGAGGATCAATTATCAACTGAATTCTTCTAAATGGAAACAAAAAGAAAAACGTTTCTGTATTTGCTCTTTCCCCCTCCCCTTGAAGCCCAAGTGGACTCTGACAGTAACACAAGCTGACACAAACAAGAGGAACTGACACACACAGCTGTCTCATAGCACTCTTGTGTGCGTATCCAGTGCTGCGCTTCTTCCTTAAAGTTTTGTCTTACTTTCAATGCTCCATGTCACCTCATAAACATTCATTATCTGAATGTCAGGCCTTTACTTTCTTTTCCACCTAATTTTCTATTCTAACTTGTGTCAGAGTTTATCTGACATTTAAAAAAAGAGTATTGAATTATTTAATTTGAAAATAAAATAGTATTCCCAACTGTATGTCTTAACAAAATGATTCTCAATTTGTAACTAGCCTAATCTTATTCAGTGTCTTTTTATGGCTACCTGCTTTAGAGAAATAGGACCCTCCTTCTACAAAGTACAGGGTCAGAGTCACTAAAAATAAAACCTGCAGTCATGTGAGGGTGAGTAAGTCAAGCTGAAGCATAAAAACAACCTGCACCCAAAATCTGTTTTTTGGGTTATCTGTTACTGACCTGTAAGAAATAAACAAATAGTATAACCCAGACAAAACAGAGCATACAGTGATATATAATTCACATACTTTGACTAAATCTAAAATATTCTATGATCTATTTTCAGACATCAAGAGTGCAAAAAACACAGTAAACAGTTTTTAACTTAATCTATTTGGGAAATGAGTGCTTGAGGTGACCATGTGTTGTATGCTTGAGTCCAAGAGCAAAAACCTAATGAATAGTGCGTCTGTTTCTTTTATTGACATTCTAGCTGCCACCAACAGTCACACTATGTCACAGCTCAAGCTAACAAAGTAAAAGGTGTCATCACTAAAGGGCTTCAATGGTGATTCTTTGTGGGTGGTTATTATCATGAAAATCTACCTGGACCACACCTAAGCAAATTGCATGTTCAGCAATGGTTAACTTCTGAAAGTTAAAGCCTGAATAAAAAACAACACAAAGGGTAATTAGATTTATTATGGGTTTACAGCTCACCCACCCGTTACATTCAGCCACCAGTGACAGGCGCCTGACCTAAAAGCACTCAGTAGGGCACATACCTCAGCAAAGGCCCAATGCTCCCCTAAAATTCAATCAAGCTGTATTAAGTTACACATACTCCATAAAAGATCGGTGAATAATTCCAAGAGAAAAAGTCAAAAAATGCCCTATCTCCAAATGATAAAGGAAGTGATACACATTTCTGGGCCTGCCCCTTGGTCAAGATCCGGGCCAAAATTTTAAGGGAACCTTCTTAGCCATTATTCAACCTCGACGGAGATAAAAAAAACTCCTCATGCGCTTTCCAACTAATTCTGCATAATGTATTGTAATTATATGCAAGCACTGGTTGTACTGAAGGAGTTTGAGGAAGTCAGAAGGAGCACTCTTGGACCACCCATGTCTTAACTGCTGCAACCTTCAAATTGGCCTTAACCATGCCAAGTAATTTGCATTTGGAACATGCTGGACAGTTTAAACAGATGCTAAAATCTGTTATGTAATGTGGTATTTGAATATTAAACCTTTGCCTTCAATGTGACACAGAAGTGTTGTTTCTAAGTTCCTTACGCCTCATGAGTGTTCAGCACACATTTCCTGTGGAAAATTACACAACTAGTATTAACACAGAAGTAGTATGAAGTTACATCCCCCGAGCTGTAGATGACTAGTTGTCTTTATAAGTGGGTGTTCACAAGCTTGGTACCAGCAAGATAATCTTACTCTAAATAATCCTTTCACCCACAGGAGGGTGGTTTTATATTTGGTAATATTTGGTGTCAAGAGAGACAGCTCACCCCCAGGACATTTTGCAGAAGTCTCCTAAATACCAGAACAACCATTAACATTCATCTGTTAGAAAAACTGGGAAGTCAGAGGACAACCAGCACCACACCATCACAGAAACAGTTGAGTGAGTTGCTGTCTGCTTTGGAAAGTTTTTGACTGACAGATAAGTAGACTTGATCCAAAATCCCTGTCAGATGGTCAGACAACTTTCTAATGTCAGAATGGGGAGTTCTGACCATTTCTGGAAGTTTCTGAAAAAAACGGCATTTTCGACATTCACATCCACTTCACGTTGTGATAGAGAAGCTTTTCACCCTGTCTTCATGTATGGCCATTTAAGTCAGGTATTTAGCACATTTGATTTATGATGTGTTACCATATGCAGCTTCAATTCAAGTATAACCTAGCCTTCGGGTACTTTGGGGGGTTATTCCTGAGACTGTTAGTTAATTAGGTTTCCACCAAAGATGTGGTAACTCAGTGATTCATTATTTTTATGTATTAAAAAAAAGTAGGGTTGCATTCAGCCATGTATTTGATCTATATTCCCTTGTGTGCTTCTTAGCGAGTCTTAGTGTGAATAATAACCTCTGTTTTGAAAAGACCTGCATAAATAAAGTCTGCTTGCTTCACTTATCGAGCCCAGGAAATTCAGACAGATTACCAGTTAATATTCTCTCTGTTTTGGACAGGTGGTGCATCGACATACAGGATTTTCAGTGGTACATGTATCACTGTTTTTTTGCAGTGTGGTCCTCAATAAGCTGTACATGGATCCAATCATATAACAACTTTCAATACAAGTAAATTTTATTTTTAGTCAAAAATCATGAATCGGTATGAAACATGAAACCCTCTATCCTCAGACCTTTGACAAACATAAAACCAATGTGTACAGACAGAATGTTTCCCTCTGATTCAGGGAAACTGTACATTGTCATGATTACTTAACTGCTGACTCAACAACAACAAGTGCACTGCAAAGTTCATCCACAGTTCAGTAGTAACACCACTGATCAATATATTCTGGAAATTGAGTCATGCGTCCAGGGCCATGGATGGTTTCTGCGTCAGAGGTCAGAGCACAGACAGTTAAACAAATTTGAACTTTTGCCACATGTCTCCGAGGCGGGTCCAGCTAGTACATGTAGACATTCTCTGAATACTTGATAACTTATTGATAAAAACCACCACTCTATTTGTGCTGCATTGTGAACGTTGGTAAGGCCACGTGTACAGAGCCATCCCTGGTATCGCACTCAGAGGCCAATGGGCAGAAAGTTCCATAAATTTGAACTTTTGGTGCAGTCCACCATCGGCTATATAGGTCAACAATCCCCTCTCGCCTCTATCAGAAATCTGAGAGCATAACTTCAACAGCTTTATGATCTGTTTTTTATGATCTGTCAGAGGATTCAATTGTGTCCTTACATATATTCTGTTTATAGATGTGGTTAAGACTATTTATTTGGGGGAAGGACACTCCCAACTTGCCATGTGCCTCCACAAGAACCAAGGCTGCAACTAACACCAGAGACCATAGGCAGTCATTCTCATCCCAGACCAGCACATCAGTGGTGGGTGTCACACAAAAAGAAAGTTTGATTGTGCATGTGCGCATTCAACGTGAATAGACTCATACCTGCACTGTTGCCAACTAATGCCCACTGAGGATTAGCGTGTGAGGGCTGTGGTGTTGTTGCAGCAGCTCACACAATGCGGTCAGTGTTGACGGAAACGCAGAGAAAGCCCCACTGTTTCCCCAACCACTGTTTCCCTCGCTGGTCGAGCAGAGGTTTAAACCGCAGCGGCTGCATGTCACCGATGACGAAGGATGTGCGGTTTTAGACGGTGACAGCCACCGTTATACTCGGGCCCTAATTGCAATAATTCCACATGTTGTTCATGTGTCTCTGGCATCTTTCTGTCGCGGCTAACCGATCCCTGGTGTGGTTCGATCGCGGGGTCTCTGCAGGATGGGGCGACAGCTGGGCGTGGGCTCGGTAGCTAGCAGCGTTAACGGCTAACCGTAGCTGCGACTGGCATAGCTTCACTTAACGTTACCGAGTTGGTTAAAATAACATGAACCGTTTAAGAGGTGAGGTCAACACAGAAACACCCGCACATCTCCCATGGAAGTTACATTTGTTAAATGGTATATATCGACCCACGAGGTGAAATGGTTTGCAAATGACACGTTTAACCGACATGTGATAGCGTCAGTATCAAGTTTGTCAATTAACGAGCGATGGTTTAAACGGATGTAAAGACAGAAATTGAACCATCCACTCACCGGCGTTTCCCTCAGCCCCAGTAGCAGTTTCGTTTTCCTGCGGTGTGTTTCTTCACTCGCCCGGGCTAAAGCCGAGCACCGTCCAGACAACAACAACCGAAAACAGCCGCTTTATCTTGGCGTTACCGAGCCGCTGCTGCAGGGCGACCTCATCACAGAGCTCCCGCTGGTGACAGTGGGTCCGGAGGGTCGCTGGGTCTGGAGAGAAAGAGAGAAACTCGACGGTGTCGCGGATGAAATGTGAGTCGTTGGCAGAGAGGCAGGGAGGCAGGGGGTCCCGGGGAGAGAGGGGGCTTCTCTTGTCGTGACGTTCCACTCCTGAATTATCAACCACAGCACTAATGGTTCCTCCTCGCTGGAGATCTGCTGCTGCTGCTGCACGTAAACGTCTGCGACCAGCTCACGACCACCAGAGGCTTGATCCCACCTCCTCCTACTCCTCCTCTGGGTCAGCCCCGCGTACACACAGGCCAGGGCGGGTAAGAATCCTGCGGGAGGGAGGACAACGTGTACGTGGACAGTGATGCTGGCCAGCCCGAGAGAGAGAGGAGGAGGAGAGAGAGAGAGAGGCAGCAGGAGAGACAGAGAGAGGAGGAGAGAGAGAGAGAGAGAGGGCGAGAGAGGCAGGAGGAGAGACAGAGAGAGGAGGAGAGAAAGAGAGAGCGAGAGAGGCAGGAGGAGAGAGAGAGGAAGAAAGAGAGAGAGAGGGGGGAGAGAGAGAGAGGAGGTGAGAGAGAGGCAGGAGAGAGAGAGAGGGGAGAGGCAGGAGGGGTGGGGGAGGAGAGGGAGAGAGAGAGAGGAGGSAGGGGGAGAGAAAGAGGAGAGGGAGAGGGTGTGTGTCTATGGTCACGTAGCTGATTGCAAGTGATCGTTCAAAAATAATGGTTCATGTTTTTAACTGGGATGCAATGCTGGAGGAAACCACATGAAAGCATCACAACACACTTTATTGATCTTGGATTTCTTATCAACACATCAAAGCTGTTTCCATCATATTCCACTCCACGATCACTGAAGTCCAGTAAATCACCTGTGCTCCCTCTGGAAGAAGGTGGTCCAGAAAGCAAAAGGCATCATAAACCATCATAATCGTAGTCTCAAGGGAATTTCCTGTCATGTTCTCAGGCTGGCGCTATTACGTGCCTGCAGCTTGTAAAACAAACTGTGACTCTAATTCCTTCATTCCTTCTGCTATCCGGTTACTAAATTCTTAAAGTTGATGATTTGTTGTGGATTTGTGCACTGCTCACTGTCATGTTGATGTATGATGGTGTCTTCTAATTTATTTATTCTTATTTGTTGACATTAAAAGATGCCTTGTTAGAAAGTGAAAGCACTAAAGAGGTTTGTGATGGTTACTTGAATTAATAAATATCACTGCGCTTAGTGGCAAAGTGCCAAACACAAAAAGCATAAAGGTTATTTTTACCACAAGGAGCCGTTACAAACCGTTACATTTGAGGGTATGGTTGAAATAGCTGAAGCAGTGTTTATTCATGCCTGTCTGCTGAATGCTGTTTTTCTTTCTCAATGATGATGATGGTGATTCTCTCGTCATTCATTAATGTCTGAGATTGAGAGACATGCAAAGCACTAATATCTACAAAGTGCCTCATTAAATATGTCTGGATGTCACAGCTATTTTAGGGCTATTATTCCAAGTGATGAAGTCGATTACTGTACAATAAAACATGTCATGTGACATCTGGGAATAGACCATGATAAGCATGCGCTACAAAAATAAACACCAGAGGTTTAAATAACTTGAATGGAGTTTCAGATAATTTTACAAAGGAATTCAGACTCCAATTTTGGATTTCCTTTACAGCTAAGAGACTTCGGCAAACAGTTATAAGTCGCACACTCACCTTACAACACCATTTCCCCAAATTAAGAACATTCATTAACTAGTTAGTCTCTATATCTTCAACTTTGGGTGACTTATAGATTTAATATCAAAATATTTGAAAATGAGGCATCCAAATTGCTGATCTCTGTATTTGCTAAGTTCTCCTATCTTGTAGATGACACGCAGCCTGTTTCAAATTGTCAGTAACAAAAACATAATCAGCTCTCAATACTCCCTTCAATTTAGACCAATGTTCTTGTTTTACTAGATAAGATTTGTTTATTAACTCAGAACTATATTGAGTTCCTAAACAATTAATCAGCCACAATCAATTCAAATCTCTGCTGATGAGTGCGGACTAAAACTAAAAGGAGAAGGTTCACATCAGCTCACACAATTATCATTAACGCTGGGAAATGCAAACTTACCACTACCACAGCAGCTCTCAGCTGGACTCACAAATCTGTAGATGTTGTTCCAGTGCAATTATGCTTTCATGTAGGTTTAACAGAAAATCAAAAGTTTTTATTTCAATAACTCTCACAAACTTGAAATAAGACAGAATTTCTAAACTTCATTCTTGATATAATTCATTTATCTTACTCTAACGCTCATGTGAAAAGTTACTATAACCATATCACAGGTAACTTTTCCCATTAGTCAAGTCTGCCTTGTATCACATGGTGTTAACATGATTACTGGTGTTCAGTATTTTCTCATAGTACCTGACACTGTGGGAGGTTGGTGTGACACATTTGCTCAAACCTGTGCCAACTCCTGACACACACACACACACACACACACACACACACACACACACACACA